ACACCACAAGACCTCAGCAGGGTCACAGTCCTGTACATCAGCAGGAACACCAGAACTCCTGATGCCCCTGGCAACGAGCCTCAACTCCGGACGCAATGGAATCTCGATGGCAGCCACAAACTCATAGCCACCCAGGCCCTCTACAAACCCTGTAAAGGTGCGGCCACAAAGGGCTCTCCGCCACTCAGTGAGTTCTTCAAAAAGAAGGACACTACAGGGAGCACCAGCCAAGGATCAACTTCGAGTCCCCAAAATGCAGTCTGCAGCAGACCCACGCCAAAAAGGCTCCACTTCAACACAGAGCTTGACGAACAAGAAGCTCTGAACCAGCAGCTTTCTGCACTGGCCATGAACCCCAGCCACACAGCAGATGACGACACGGCTGCTGATGACAACGCTGGCATTGCAGTCGATTACTTCTGAGGGCTAATGGAAAACCACCCCGCGGCAAAGACCTACGGAAGCTGGCACTGAGGCACGTGAGGCACCAGGCCATAGAAAAACATGCAAACCGGCCAAAAGGCCCTCGAACTCAGCCACTCTAGGAAAAATACATATATACATACATACATACATACATACATACATACATGGCTCAAGCTGTGAGCGGTTCAAGGTGGCAAGCCCGCATAAAAGTCCACCTAGTGCGGCACCCCAAAGCACCACGTGTGCCCGGTGTACCACCTTAAGCGGGTCCAACCAGGGTGAAGGTTTCTTTGCTCGCTATCTCACGACTACTCCTTCCTCATTCCTGAGGTGACCTTCAGCAACCGGCAGTGCTCGCCTGGCTATCACCTGGGGAAGGTGAGCGTCACTGGCACTACAACATACCCGTGCTCTCTGGCCAGAACAAGCTCGGTGAACCGATCCTCACACTACAAGTTGACTACACAATGGGGAAGGGCCTATATGGTCTGTAAGCATAGCACTTGCTCCAACTGGATCTACATGGACAAGCTCAGACAGGGCACCAAATGTCGAAAGTGTGGCACATGGTGGCCTACTTCTGACAAAACCACAGGCAAAGGCAAGGGCTATGGGAGGCCAACGAACCAGGCCATGACATACCGTACCTGGCCAGAACCGCCACCAGGTTTGAGCAAGCTGAAACCATTGAAGCGCACTAAGGTCCAGCAAGAGGCAACAGAGCTACTCTCCACAGCCTGGACAAGTCTCTCAGAAGACACCCAAACAAAGCTGCAGGCAATCGGCATTGGGCCCACTAAGCCAGAAGAGCCACAGCTGCAAGAGGTCTTGAAGAATCACATGCAGTCCTTGCCTCCACAGGTACAGGACATCGTCACCAAACTCACGACCCCGGAACCTTGCAGTGAGAAAGAGATTGCAGCCAAGCTCAGAGGACAGGTCAGCGAGCTCAAAAACATGTCCGTCAAGAAGACACAATTGCAGGCACGCATTGATCAGGTCAAGTCTCAGTACGCCGCTCTCCTCAATGACATGCAGGAGCTCCAGGCCAAATTGACCGAAGGCCAGGCGACCCTGAAGAGTCTCTCGGAGGACTACATGAAACTCCGCCGCAGACAGCAAGATGCCGCCTTGGCGGCTTGGGAAAGAGCTAGCAGTCTCCATGACAAGAAGCTCACAGAGTGGCAGCAGGTGCTCGATGAGGATCACATGATCATCTACAAGCATGCTGCAGAGCGCTTGGCCAAAATCTACAACGACAAGGACCACTACCTTCACCAGAGGCCAAGCAGACACATGGGAAAACACACCAAACAGTACAAAAAGCAACTGGTCAGCCAATGCACCAAACCATGGCAATCTCCACATCACCGTTGGGCACCGCATCGCAGCGGCTACCAATGTGGAGCTTGTGGCTTGAGAATCCACCAAGCACTGACAGTTCAGGACATTGAGATCAGACTGCAACAAGAATGCCCGCAGCTAGCACTGGAGGAGCACTACCCAGAGCACACCAGCTCTCAACAAAAGCTGCCAAAGAAACACACGTGCCCAGATCATCAAAGATCTCCTGGCCAGGCAACAACAGCAGCCGCCAGACAAAGACCATCACCAGCTTGAGGCCACAACTGGCTATCTACGCTGTGTGAAGTGTGGTGCCAGCGTCCACAAGAGGGTCAATGAACCGGCTTTCATAGCCTTTGTTGAAGGGCAATGCACTGATCAGCCATGAAGGACACTCCTCCCATGCACTTTGGCAGAAGGGAGACAAGGTCACGTGCACACAATGTGGCCTCAGCTTGCACCTGGATTTCCAGGACAGCAACGGCTCATCCTCACAGGGGCAGTCAAAAAGCCCTGCAAAGGCTCTGGACTCAGTGGTTCACAACCGCTGACAGAGATCTTCCGCAAGCAGGCTGAACAAGCTTCGCAACAAAGAAGTTCAGGGGAGTCAACTGACACAACGAGCCAATCAGCACCACAGGCACCAACAGCCTACCAGGACCCGGCCAAGAAGCCCAAGCTTGACACACAGGCTGCCAGGCCCTTTGAAGGGCCTACACCAAGACGATTGCACTTCCATACAGAGCTTGATCAGCAAGCACATGGACTACAGGCAAACAATGCTGCACTGGCCATGACACCCAGCCAATCGGCAGCACCTCCTCTACAGGATGCACTCGATGAAGAGCATGAGCAGCCAATGTCAGAGACACCGGCAAGTGAGGGCTCCATCGATGTGGACTACTTCTGAGAAGAGTGAGCCCTAGACGGACCAGCCAAAATGGCAAAGAGCACACAACTCTAGGAAAAAACACATACATACATACATACATACATACATACATGACTTCTTTGCACGGCAAATGAGTGTGGACAGCTCCCGCACACAGCAGGGCAATAACACTGTGGCTGAAGCCATGACAAACCCAACGCCAAGGAGGTTGCATTTTGCGACTCCACTCACCACGGCAGAAGATCAAGAAACTTCTGCACAGGCCATGAACCCCAGCCTTGAAGCAGGACAGCACATGTCATCACCGGCAACAGCACTGCAACCGGCCACAAGGTCAGCTTCCCTGGCTCATGCCGTGCAAACCCTCATCGACAGCAGCACCCAGCACAGGGCTACTGGCCATGACACCCAGCCACACAGCCCACTGCAGACACTCACCAACGAGCTGCAGAAGGAGTTGGAAGACACCATTGACGTGGACTACTTCTGATCATGTGCCGCTACTGCACCGAGTCAGGGCCATAGGACATCTGAAACAACCAACCTGCCTAAATGGCAACATCAACCTTAAGGAAAAAAATACATACATACATACATACATACATACATACATTTACACAACAGACCGCCCACAATGGGCAAAGGGCCTGAAACTTTAGGAGAAAAAAACACATACATACAGGCAGGCAGACAGGCAGGCAGGCACGCAGGCAAGCAAGCAAGCAAGCAAGCAGGCAGACAAAAAGGCAGGCAGACAAACATCCAGGCATACAGACAGACAGACAGACAGACAGACAGACAGACAACCTCCAAATGGGATACTTTTTAGTAGCATGCATGTCTTGTTATGTATGTCATGTTTGAGAACCAAATACTGTCCACAAAAACTATCCACGTTGATTGATGTTCGGATCCATGAAATGTCAAGCAGCCTAGCTGACTTCAATTGGTTCCCAAAATCGTTACCCCTCCAACTCGCTCACACTACTACTCTGTCACCCACTTCCCGCCTTGGCTTCTTCCTTCCTTGCCTTAATTTCTCGAATCAGCCTGTCAGCTGCAACCTCTTGCTCTGACACACCTCAAGGCGACTGATCAAAAGCTCTCCAGAAATCATTGCTAACTGGTTGCGAGGTCATACACACTAGACTAAGCTCAATTTTTGGGCTACTGTACTCATTAAATGCAAGGGTCTAAACAGTTGCAATTGCTTGCCTTGCCAGTATTGTGACAGAAGATGACACAAGAAGGGTCGATCACACAATTCATAGAGCTAAATATCATGAAACATGTGACGAGGCCTAGCACGATGTCACTGGCAAGCGGCATGGCCCCTACACATGTTCCGGTTTGGGCGAGCCCTTGCAGCCCTCTTATGAGCTGTTGGCTGTGCAATTGCTGGCTTTCTGGGTTGCGGAGGTCACACCACACGCTGGTCCGAGGGTCACATCTGCAACTGAGCGACGCTTTGCCAATGGCTCATGGATCAACTTGCAACGTCCTCCAACCTGGTGGAAGATAAAAGGGATAAAAGGCTGGTCCATGTCCTCGGATCCGATCAATTCGATGTTGACAGTTGCAGCACGAAAAGAAAAACTGTTTCAAGCACTCCAGTATCAATTACATGTGTTGGCGAAGACGTGGGCAAAAAACCTGAGAGTTCAGTCATACTCATCCCAATCCCATGATTAAAAGCAAAGCTTGACAAATATGCCACTACACACTCCGACTCCAGCCATAATTCCCTAATCTCTGTATGAAAAAAGTCATCTTCTGGAAGGTGCCCACTTTGCCTCTGCAAGTCATTCTCAAACTTGCTGCTTTAGCATGATTTAGCTTCAACTCTTGGATCCTCTCTTCACGGCATTCAATGTCCCATTTCTGTGCCGCCAAGTGGCAGCTTCGTCTCACCCCGCCGTGTACCCGTTCGGCCGCTGCAGGGGTGCAGGCTGTTTGGTACCCAAAATGGCTCTGGTCTGCCAGCGGGAGTTGCACAACATTCCAGCGGTCCGCAACAAATGGCACATCACCACCGTTGAAGGAAGGAATTCATTCCACCATAAAGTGGTAAAAACCTAATCGCTGATACTGTATCTGTGACACCCCCGTCCACCGATCTGATGCAGCAGCAGACTTTCAATAATCTAAGCAAACATGAGCAACCCCATAGTGCATGTGGACACCGCACACAACTCATCGCCATCTACCCTGCCCAGCTTGGTAGCTTGGTGCAACCTTCCTCCTAGCTAACCAAGCCTTTTGACCCTTGGTCACTTGCATCATGGGCTCAAGCCAGAAATGCCCTGAGTCGCTCCCGATCACCGCCAAGCATCCGGGCCAAGACCGTCGCTCTCATTGCCACCTTCCTCCTGGAGAACCCAACGACGGGACAGGACCTTTCCGTTCCGAGCAACCTGTGCCACCTTCAGCGTCTGCGTGGCTGTTCGTTGGAATGAAACCCCACCGGCAAATCAGGTTCAGCTGAACAGGTACTACAAAAGGAACGAATTAGTGCCCATCATCTGGTCGATTGGTACTTAGTACTTTTGACGGGAACTAGTTAGTAGCTAGTCCATAATATTTGAATCCTCTACTTGCACTCTAGATGTAGACCTTGGTCCCCCCTGAACATGGTGTCAGCGAATGCCAAATAATTCAAAATTTGCAAGTCTCACACAATTTGTATGTATATATATATATGCATGTGTATATGCATATATATATATATATATACACCATACATTTATACATATAAATATGGTACCCCGGCCACAAAAAGTCTACCGTTTGAAATGCTTAAAGAATTTGGAAAAGGGTAAAATGCGTTGTACTTAAACAGATCCATATCTTTTTTACAGGTATTTTAAGTTAGGAAGTTAGAGGTGAGATTCTCTAGGATAGTTTTACGCAATCTTACTTCTTACATCCAAAATGCGTGTCAAGTTCTGTCAATTTTCTTGTTTTTTAAGTACAACAAAAGTCCAACATATCTAAATTGGTCCCATAGTCTAAGTACAGCAAGTAAGAGTCGTTACTAATTACCAAAGACCTATGCAATCTCACATGTTTTACGTTACTTCCATCAAGGTGTATATAAAGTATGCCAGTTAATTGGTGGGAAAATTCTATGGAAGCCTCGGTAACAAATTTTGGTGTTCTAAGTAGAAAACTAGATAATCAAAAAGCTCAAATCATCCCCACCGCTCTCAGAAGGCAGAAGGGAAGGAAAGAATGGAAAGCAGGAAGCAGAATGCAAAAAGATAACCACAGGCTGGAGCGGCTAGATAGAGTGTATAAGCTAATTGCATTAGCAGTCTTGTATCAAGCCGTAAAGTATTGAGGTAATTATAGACTTACAGCTTGCATAGGCCCAAGCAATGTCGTGGTTGCTTCAGAGCATCAAAGCAGGACACAACGAGACCGGTGCTAATTTCACACGGCAAAATGCGGCATCCGAATTCACCTTTCTTCATCAGACCTTCCAAACACCTCTCGACAGGGTCGAAAGAATCAACATATAACCTCATAACAGGTCCTCATAGACGGAAAATGAGTTTTTGAGCCTGACAAAGTTTTGTGAAGGTTAGGCATTGACCCCCCATAACACACTTTGTTCGCCCATATGAAACTTGATTCAAGTAACCAACAGTTGAGCAATATTCCATGAACATTTCTGGCATGGAGGTGCCTTCCATTAAGGATGAATTCGACTTTGCCGGCTGGAAGACTTGTGCAAAGGAAAGAGGTCTTGGAATAGACTAGCTATACTTATTTAAACTGTAAACAAAAAAACTCTTGTGAAGGGATTCTTTCTAAGAGAAGGAGGTGTCGTGTCAAATAGCGTCAGGTTTTTTGAAGCAGAACGTATTTTTTAAGAAGTGCGGCAAAGCCGTGGAAAGCCTAAATTGTTATCTGCGTCAAAGGCCTCAAATGGTATATCTTTGAAGGGGGGTAGCAATTGTATGTGTATATATATATGTATATAATTATATATATATGCGTATCAAGAAGATCGAAAGACCAGCATAGCATTGGGGTCGTTGCTGCTTCGCTTTTTTCCCCTGAACCCTTCACAGAGGAACCTTTTCAGCCAGCGTCTCGGCCATTATTCTAGCCATCATCCCAGCCCACACACCTGCTATGCAGTTCCTTCTCGTGTTGTGGGGTTTCAGACCTCAAACGACAGGCTGAAACAATAGGCTCAAGTGGCAATTGCAGCAGGACTCAACTTTCTGCACTCAAGCTGTGTGACTAGTCTGTGTCTGTGTCAGCGTGTGTTGACGCTCGGACACGCTGTGCTTCTCCTCCTCAGCATCTGCCTGCCGCTTCAGTGCTTGGGCATAGACCGTTATTGGGATTCAAAGGGCTGAATTTCATGGTATGATCCGGATCAGAAAGCTCCCCTCTTGAGACAAGTTCTTCGCATATCAAAAACAAGATGGAGC